GGGTTCGGTATCTGCGAGTCACTCCATCATCGAATGTCTATGCGGTACACAAACACATTTATCCGTTCGACGGGAAGACCTCGGTTTCCCACACTGACTTTGGTTAGGGTTTTGTCTGATACATGGCACAGTATTGGTCTAAGGACTGCACAAATGTGGGTTTGTAAACTCTACACATTCTGTATGGCATCCGATAGGATCGCATTTTACAAGCAGAGCAGCAGCTCAGCTAAGATGTTTGGTCTCTACGTCACGAAACATCCGATGCTACAACAAAGATTAGCTGCCTATGTTGACCTCATCTATGATTGTCCACAATTCAAGTGCACCTGTAGGTCGAACGACAAAGCAGTTAGCTCAACGATTCAAAGAACACAATTCACGCTGGCTCACACAGGGTGGGAGTGAAGCTGTGTCAAGCACGATCATTGGTTACGCGATCCAAACAGCGCACAACATTGGGAGTTCTCTCGGGCTCACTGTCAACACATTAAAAAATCATGATTTACCAACCTTTCTGGTTGTCCCTATTGAAATTGCTTCACATAAATGTGATTGTAAATGCTTGGGAAGGACTTCATCGAAAGCATATGCTAGCCTACTTTGGGTTCGTAATCTATGAGCGTATTCCGTGATTTCAATAAAAAAATAGATGTTTCGGACAGAACAGGAAACAAATTATCAATGCGAAAATGTGGGGAGAATGCTAGCCGAACACAAATAAGTTATTCATTCGGAATAGAAAACCCAATCTCGACCTTCGGGTGAGAACAGTTTCGCATCAGTCGTCTATTGCAAAAAAGTGTCTATTTTTCTTTTATCTATCCGTGAGAAAATAATTTCTCTGGTAGAATTTGTCCACAACAATAAATTATGCTATGGATACATTTGAAGATCATATCGATCATAAACATGGCGATTGACCAAGTTGTTTAGCCTGATAACTTCTGTATGAGTTCCGTATTGACAGTATGAGAATAACAGTAGCAATCATACAAGCACCGGAGTATGGAATATCAAAAAAAAATAACGACTTCTATAGAAATGAGCCCTATTTCGCTTTCAGTTCAACCCGAAGAATAAGCATTCTGAACAAAACAATTCCGGATAGACAGTACACGAAACATATTGTGCATTCAAAAACATTTTGCTCAGTCCTCGTACATCTAACTGCTTCATTTTTGTGTATTTGGATTATCTGAGGCATATAACAATTATGTTTCTCTCGACCATAAGAGACGACGCTCTTCTTCGTTTCTTTTCATGCTCTGCGTCTCTCGAGACAAGTGGGTTATTGTTGTCATGCCGGTTTGAGGACTACTACTATGGGACTTGTCATTCCCCTGCACAACAAACGAGATGCTGTTCTAAGCAACGTACACTGTGTTCTTCACTAGATTTATAACATTTTGTACACACCGCTGTGGGTGTGTGCGGAGCTGGTGGAATCGACTGTTTAGTTGTGGGGTTCCGGTCAAATAAACTTATGGGACTTCATGTTACAGACCACATAAAAAGGTATCGTGGAATAGGTGTGGTCATGATCCGGATAATAGATAAAGTAGCTATCATAGAAAATAGCGCACGATGTTCGTTCAGATTTTAGCCTCCTGATTTGAGCACCGAAGTCGTAAACCAATAGACCATATGATTTCTGGTTATCTTTAATCCTCCCCAACTCCCAGTTTCCGACAATTTCCATCTCATGTTTTTTTCTTTCTTCTACATAGGCTATTAACTGGTTTAAACCATTTTAAAATTACCAAAATGATTTCGTCCAACATTTGGCCTACTCATAACTGAATTTTATTCGGCTGAACACCACTGGTAAATTGTTGTCTAACAGAATTGTTGCTTTATACTTGTCAACCAACAATGACCGCGTCATGGTACGGGAACACCGCATCGGTTTCACAGCCCTCCCGCCTCCCCCCGGGGAGTAACACACAATCTTGCGCTGTTTATCTACATCACATTCCGGTTGGCATGCCCTCAGTGCAACGTTGAACATATCAATTGTTAAAGTGTGCGCGTTTCCCACAACCGTGTCGAGTGTCTTCACAGGTGGACAACACACTGCGGATTGAAAACAATTCAACGGTGCACTATTTGTACTTCAATTTAAGAGATTTGGAACAGAACGATCACCCATTCACTGCTTTTTGGAAAAAAAGGTCAACGGGGTGGGACTGATTTTGGACATCCATTGNTCCATTGACATTTTTTGTCAAATGACCGTAACAAGCACTGATAATGCGTGTTTGCTCTGACTGAATCATCGACATTGAATACCTTGCGAAGAGCTAAACCATCTCAGTCTCTTCAAGTGAAAAGCGATCCGTTTTTAACTGGGAAACAGACCGCAATGAGCGTTTGATCCCGACCGGATATGGTCAGAAAAGAGCACCGAGTGAGGATTCAGGAATCGCAATTGAAATGAGTCACGTGTGCGTTGCTTTCACTCAACGCGTTGAGACCCAAGTCCTGACAATGCGGATGAATAGTTTCATTGCTAAGACTAGCACTTATTCCTTGCTTCCCGAGGGGTTCCTCGAGGATCCGTACTGGGGTCTCGTCTTTTTCTTGCATTTATAAACGACCTGCCACATGTCTTTGGGCCGAATATACTAGTATTTGCTGCCAAGGCTAAGATTTGGAGAACTGTAACACATTCAGAGGATTATATAGCACTCCAACAAGCGATCGATACAGCCCACCAATGGTCAATCGCCAATGACATCGAGTTCACCGTTTACAAATGCAAAGTTATTTCTATGGCGCACAAGACTCGTTTCTCCTATGTTCTGGGAAACCAGATAGTACCGCATACCACTGACGAAAAGGATCTGGGAGTTATGGTACAGGAGGACGTACGATGTTTCACGCACTGCGTCAGAGCAACACCCATGGCTCTAAAGCAAGTTGGACTACTCAAACGTGCTTTCGGACAGTTCGAAAAAGCACTATACCCAAGCTTTCTATCAGCGTTCGTTTGGCTACACACGGAGTACGCCGCTCAAGTACGGAATCCATGGTTGAACCTCGACAAGGTTCAAGAACATCCGCAAAGGCTGGCAACGAAATTGGTAAAACGTCTGTATAACAAGACATGCTCCGAAAGACTACACATGTTAGGACTTTACTCATCTTAATAACGTTAACTTCGAGGGGACCTAATCTTGACATATCACATACTGCACTAACCCAACTACCCTTGCCTTTCTATACTAACTTTATCCCACAATGATCACCTCAGGGGACATCCACTCGTGTTAAAAGCCCAGAACAGCCACATTGATTGACGATATTACTCGTTTGCAGCCAGAGTGTGCGGTGTTTGGAATTCTATTCCATCCGATGTAGTGTACACTCTTACAGTTGCACTGTCTGAATCGCAACTTGATAATGCATTGTAACACTTAAAATTTCGACATCCGTGAGTTGTCACGCATATAATTATTATTATTATTATTTTCTATTTGTGAAGCTATTCAAAATATTCTGTAAAAATCCTATAGGACATGATAAGCTTCAGGTTTGTTAAATCGCCCATAATAAAAGCAATGCAAATGTTTGTGATAACCAACAAAGAACACTGGATAGCTGTTTCACCCTGTTTGGAACTTGTCAGCAGTGGGTTAGCAGTGTCTGGTGTCTCTGNCCCGTCGATCACATTCTTTCCCAAATACACACTTGGTTCTATCAATTGATTTTTTTTCTTAGTCCAAACAAAGCACAATTAATCGCCATTAATTGGATTTAAGATGCTACCCTTCTAAATAGCTCACACATGCATCAAATATATATATATATATATATATATATATATATTGTTAAACCTTTTGTCTCACTGGACTACCCCGGTTTCCTTCAGCAAATAGCATTCATTGATCCAGATTGAAATTACGCTTACATTGAACGGGAGCAGGTCCGGTGGTGGACATCGACCCAGATTGCGCCGACGATAAATCGCCTCGACAATATTGGCCCCGTTTAACAGACGCAGAGCACGAACCAGTTCCCAGTTCGTGCGTAACGGGAATTCCTGTCCGGTCAGATTGATCCAATATTTCCAACCGCCGGGAGCTCGTTCGAACAGGATTCGGGCACAGGTCAGATCCGCATCCAACACACTCATTTGACCCCACTGAACATCCAACCGTTCCGACGGGTCGACAAAGAACACATTATGTGCCAAATCCGGACATTGTTTCAGTCGTTCCATTATCTCAATGAATTCCGCTTTGCTTTTCCGGTCAATGTGAATACAATAGAAGTTTTGTGGCCGGTAGATGGCACGAAGGAGGCGAAGCACTCTGTCTACATCGGTGTAAACAAGCAAGCTGTATGCGATCGGGAATTCCTGTTCTTCTGGCCGTACAGTGAATTTGTAGGATATGTTGGCATATTGCAGCAATGAGGTGCAGTCGGATTTGAATAAAGGTCCTGAGAATGGAGGTAGCTTGAAAGCTCCTGTTGTCTCCTCGCGCATTGTGCTGCTTACATACGCAAAGAGTATTAGCAGTCCGCATAGTACAACAAGTATTTTGAGGATCAACTTCAATCTGATCGGATTAAAGCTACTATTCACCCTTGTTGATGGAATGCGTATGTGGGCCGGAAACTTCATGGTCCCTTTGGGGATCTGTGTTTTGATGCTATTTGGCTGCGCATGTGAGTATTGTTGTCGTGCCGACAGAGTTCATTGGTCCATAATTTCATCCAATAGCGTGCACAATTGTTAGACTACCAATATGACCTTGAAATCGTGTAACGGGTTTTCGCGAATCAAACGGACTCGTCTGATTTCTGACAGCTTTCTGTCGGGTCACCAATAACCATTTTAAGTTGGTTTGAGTGAATGTTATTTATTGTACATATAGATCACATACAGAAAGGTGTATTTCAATAACTCCCCAAAAAGAAATTACCATTCGCCTTACAAAACGATCGATTTGCTTCATAGTATCAAAACTGTTCTATTCAATGTGAACTTGACACCGTCTCATGAATCAGACCGCGCCTGCTAGATTTCTCTCCCTCTCTCTCTCTTTCGGTGTCAAATAGTCCGACGCAGTCTCCAATAGGTTA